ACTCCTCCATGCAACGCACCCACACATTCCTCCAGGGCTCAGGGAAGGCCGGCACCTATCAGGGCCAACCAGAATGAGGCCAGACCCTAGTCTAAGACTGAGGGATACCTCATGGGCGCAGGCTAGGCCTCTGGGACTACTGAGGGGCACATGGCGGGGGGGGGGGCAGCTGACGGGGCAGGGCAGGGCCTGACAACAAGGCAAACTTTGATAAGCAGTTCTCCATAATCACTTCTCAGCAATTATTTGTTATTATCACAGTTTAACATTATAAAATTAACAAAAATAATATAAATATTGTATTCTGGTGAAATAGCCACATGGCAGCCCAAAACCATATATTCCCTTCTTGTTCTCCCACCCGTTCGTGCATTCTTTCCAAAAATTGGGACTTTTTAAAATGCCGTGGGACATGGGACAAATTGTTCAAAAGCGGGACGTCTGGTCACCCTATTGTAAGGCATCTGCCCCCACTGCACATCTTCTTGGATGATCTGGGTTTAACAATTTTCTTTCTACAGAATATACCATCTACAGAAACGAAAACAATGCAACTTGCTGAATGTGCGTCTTCATCGGATAAGGCCGTATTTAAATACTTGCCATCATAATTTGTTGAAGGGAGAAATCAACTGTAAACATTTACACAGTAAAGGAAATACCCGTGTGTGTGTGTTAAAGATCTAACACTCATTGTCTTTTAAGTTGGCAGAAATACAAAAGTGAAAATTCTATAAATAACTGACTTCTACAATATGTGACCATAAATTATCCAATTTTCCATGACACTCAAAAGTTATAATTGTTTACTCAGAAGACTTAGCTATCATGTGCTCAAATAAGAAAAGATCACTTACCCCTTCCCAAAAGGTAAAATCTTGAATATATTAACCAGCAAGGTACATACTATGTTATGATTAGACCATGCCTCCGTATGTCAACTTATAAAAATGCATTCAGCATACATAAAATATACATTAAAGATTTATCTCATCATAGGCACAATCTAATACAAAAATATATTTGACATTTATAAATTAGAAGATCCATTTGAGAGCCTCCAAAATCGGAAAGGGAAGGGAATGATAACATAAAAAAGAAAGCACACATAGATGCAGAGTTCCACGTATATGATTATTTTCTTCTTTAGCAAGGGGTTAATAGCAGTTTACACCAAACCGAGTTACCGGGCAGATCACAATCAGTTCACAGGTTGGATGAGTTAGAGCACACAGGCCAGATGACTATTACGAATCACTCAGCTCAGTATGTACTCGGGGTTCAGTCAGCCTCATAGTACACCCTATTCACACTACAGCATCCAGAATCTCCACCCCTCCACTCTCTGTGCTCTACTACCATGTTAACACAGATGTGCCACATGGGATAGCTGCACCAAACCTAGGATAGACCGTTGTTTGCTTTGTTTTGTTTTGTTTTTTTGAGACAGTCTTATTATGTTACCTTTGGTAGAGTGCCATGGTGTCACAGCTCACAGCAACCTCTAACCCTTGGGCTTAAGCTATTCTCTTGCCTCAGCTTCCCAAGTAGGTGCCTGCCACAACGCCCGGCTATTTTTTGTTGCAGTATCATTGTTGTTTAGCTGGCCTGAGCTGGGTTTGAACCTGCCAGCCCTGGTGTATGTGGCTGGCGCCCTAGCTGCTGAGCTATAGGCATTGAGCCAGGCTAGACTGTTTTTAAACAGACTTAGGCTTGGACTAGTAAAGAAAACCTACTGGATGGTGTTGCAAAGTTGTCTATCTAGTTGAATGAGCTAAACACAAACTTATTTAAAATCCTGAAATCTTTATGGGGAAATAAAAGTAAATTTTTTCAGCAGGCAGAATAGATTTTTAAAAATTTCCAAAGCGCAGGACCTTATGTAATCTTTGAATATGGAATAATTCAAAAGGAAGAACTTCATGATTCAGAGCGTTCAACAATTACAACAGAAAAGTCGGTCACCTATACTGTAGACTAAGCAGAGAACAAAATGGCCATAGCAATCTTATAAAGATTCATAATATTCTTCCTTTCAGCCTAGATGAAACTAGGTATCCAATATTTTTGGACACCAGTATTTCTTTTCAGAAAATTTTTCTCTTCTTGGCTTGTGGATGTACTCATTCATTGAATGTAGGACAACAATCTTCTCACCTAAAATCCACACAGAATTCACATCAGGAAGACAGTCCATGTGAATAAACTTTGGAAACAGTCCACCAGAAAGTGGTAACAGATGAATATAGTTAGCCAGTCAGTGAGAAATAGTAACTTCTTTCAAAGAAATTATCATTTCCTCAAAACAGGTTTAAGTTAGATTAAATGTGCCAACATACAGCTGCTTTGCCCATGTTTTAATTTGAAAAGAAAAATTAAAATACTAACATCATATGGGATCATGTGTCAGCCAAAAGGATATGTAAATAAATGATACTCTAAGACATACCCTTTAGCCCAATATATATTTTTTAAAAAATCTAACCTTAAGACTGAACCAAATTATGGCAAAGATTCTTAAAAGTGGCTGAGGTATTTAGATTCTTCAAAACCACAGCTGTGCAGTACTGGGCAGGTAGATAAATTAAATGACAATGAAAATGAGCAATAAAGCATAAAAAATAACTTTAAACTCCTTTTATAATGTCTAAAAACCTGAGCTAAGGGAAAATGATTAAATCCTGGCAATACACAGCCCAGCAAATGTTTCACCATCAAATATTTGGAGGCAAAAATCTATGTTCATTCAAGAATAGCATTTTCAAGTAATTGTTAAAAGATTTCCAAAAGTTGATAATTAGACAATTTTACAAAGAAATGGAAACACCTAAAATGTAGGTTCTATTTACCTAATCTATAAACTAGACTTTTTTTTTTTGCAGTTTCTGGCCAGGGCCCGGTTTGAACCCGCCACCTCTGGCATATGGGGCCGGTGCCCTACTCCTTTGAGCCACAGGTACTGCCCCTATAAACCAGACTTTTTAATAGATTAGCCAAAGGGTTATAAAATTATCTTCTGTTTGCTCCTACCTGGTTGGCTTTCAAAAGAAAATGAATGTCCATCATTTTGAAACATCTTGCAGACAGTCTGGAGATGAACATTTTTGATGACATAACTTCAGCTGAAGAGCATTTGTTCTTTTAGTAAAACATGGAATTCTGGGTTATTAACATGTATCATTTTTACAATAAGAGAATATTTAGTTGGTGGTTAGGAAACCTGCTTTCTATTCATTGCTGTGCTAATAATAGGGATAATTAATTGGGATAAGCCAATTAGCCTTTCTGGGCCTGAGTTTCATGGCCTGTAAGGTGGGGGAAAGAATATCTGTGCTATGTCATTCACAGAGGATAAAGTAAACACTAGAAAGCACTTTTATTTTTTCAAAACACAATATAAATGCTATGCCATGATACTGTTAATATTTTTACAATTATTACCTCGTCATGTTACCCATTCAGATATGTGCTCAAGGTAGGTGTTCCTACAAGATCATTTCATAGGTTGAATATTTAGTTCGATTTTATTTTAAAAATAAATTGCAAAACTAAAATGTTTGAACAAGGTCACTTAACCTTCTCCCCAGGTGATCATCATCATCATCATCATTACTTTTTAGCTATATGTTTAAAAGAGGACATCTTTAATATGTCAGCTTAACTGGGCAAATGTGTCCCTGGCACAGGTGGTTTTTCAGAAGAAAAGCCGATCTTCACAAGAGTCTTGTCTTCTGCTTTTATTTTAAAGTGCAGACCCTGGGTGGGGAGGGACAGAGCGGGCACGCTGGGTCTGTCACTGAGGAACCAATTCCCGCAGAGAGGCCAGAGCAGCATGGATGCGGACATGCAATCTGTTTTCAAAGTCGTAGCCAGAGAAGTCCTCCTGTAAGAGCAAAGGGAGACATTGGCAAAGCTCTGTTAGCTAAGTGTGTACAATGCACTGCAGAGTAAGTCACACCGAGCTGGGTACTTCCCAAAGTCAAGTCCCTCTCACTGCTAGCTAGCAAAGGCTGCACGTCCTCTTGACTTTCTTACTCTCCAAAACAAAAACTCTGTATTCATTTAAAACATGTCAATGGAATGTCAATCAAGTTCCCCTTGGACAATTTTCCTTGTTTTCCTTGGCACAGTTAGTCTTAGGTTGTGTTCAGCGTATGTGACTGTCAGAAATCCTTCATTCAAGAATGTAGATATGAAATCTAAAGTTATTTTCCCACACTAAGACTAGAGCCTTTCTACAGCAAGAGGAACCACTTCATAGGAGGCTCTTATGATCTTGGTAGTTTCACTTAAAAATCAAGTGCTCACTGATTCGATTAGTTATCACTTCTCCTTTTCAGAAATATCACCCACCAGAACATCACCTCACAGACTTTCTTGAATTCAGGCTCGGGTGTACCCTGCACAGGATAAGTAGGGCCCCTGAGAAAAAACAGATTCATGATTTTTTACCTTTGCTTGAAGAAGGAGAGTTCTGCCTCTTCCAACAGTCTGTGAACAGAGGAGAAACATATTATCTCTTAATAGCTACATTTACATATACTCAAGCAAAAAATGTTATAAAAGGAGGATATGTTAATTTAAACAATTTATAGTAGACACAGCAGTCAGCTGTCCAGGACGGCCCAAACTCCTGGGTTTTAGCAATCCTCCCACCTCAGCCTCCTGAGTCATGCACCACCAGACCTTGCCTCTATTTCCTTTTGAAGGCACTATATCAACAAATAGGACAGTTTTGTTATATTTTATGCATATCTATTAAGACTGCATGAAAAGTAAACATTCATTAAAACAAAGAATATGGTTTTTGAACTTTCTACCTCAATTCATAAAAACTGCACTTTTTTGGGTTAAAATTAGACTTTCAAATTAAAACATTCTCTAATTAAAAGCCCATCTTTGGCAGGATAGGCTATATGTTTAAGGATCAGGCTGAAGCCATATTTTTATTGATTTAGTTGAATGTTTAGAAAGCTCACATGTGAAAATTGAGTTAAATTTACTAAAACTTAAAAAATTTTAAAGCTAACATATGGAGCTCATGTTGAGCTCCTAAAAGAAGGTACCAGGCAAATGTAGGCACTACTAAAACTTAAAATGACAAAAAAACCCTATCCTAGGGCAGCACCATGGCTCAGTGGGTAGGGTGCTAGCCATATACACTGAGGCTGGCGAGTTCAAACCTGGCCTGGGTCAGCTAAAACAACAATGACAACTGCAACAACAACAATAAAAAACTAGCCTGGCATTGTGGTGGGCACCTATATAGTCCCAGCTACTTGAGAGGCTGAGTTAAAAGAATCACTTAAGCCCAAGAGTTTGAGGTTGCTCTGAGCTGTGATGCCACAGCACTCTACCCCGGGTGACAGCTTGAGACTCTGTCTCAAAATAAATAAATAAATAAATAAAAATAAAATAAAATAAAATAAACCTCCACCCCATTACTAATGTAAATACATGTTTTTATAGTAACCATCAACTCACATTTGCACGGCATTCTGAAAATATTTCAGTAATTATGTACATTTTATGCATTGATTTTCACTATAATTTTTATTAAATAGGCAAAGGAGGTTCTTTTTAGTCTCATTTTATAGATTAGAAAGAAAAAATGTGGTGAAGGAACTTAAACAGTGTTGCCTACTGAAATAAATGGCAGTGCTAGAACAACGTAGTTCTGTATTCTTCTCAATGAACCACACTGCATCATATTATACTATCTCAAAAAGGCAATGATTTTCCCCTCAAATGAATCTTTTTCTGAAAAGCTGCCTTTGTACAGTCATGCATCACAAAGGACATTTCAGTCAATGACAGGGAACATATGACAATATTCCCATAGATTATGATGACGCTGAACAGTTCCTATCACTTAGTGATATCACCGTTGTCACGCTGTCGTGGTATAAAGGCCTTACTCACCTGTTGGTGGTGATGCTGGTGTAAATAAACATGCTGCACTGCTAGCTGTAGAATAGCCCAGCACTCGTAACTACATATAAAATGCAATGCTTGATAGCGACAGTAAATGACTATGTGACTGGTCTATGGGATTATCATACGGTACTTTTTCCATGCTATTGCATAGTGTATTTCTACTTATAAAACACTGTGACGGCTCGGCGCCTATAGCTCAACCGGCTAAGGCGTCAGCCACGTACACCTAAGGTGGCGGGTTCAAATCCCCAGCCCGGCCCCGCCAAAAACAACAATGACGGCTGCAACCAAAAAATAGCCCGGAGTTGTGGCGGGCGCCTGTGGTCCCAGCTACTTGGGAGGCGGAGGCAGGAGACTCGCTTGAGCCCAGGAGTTGGAGGTTGCTGTGAGCTGTAATGCCACGGCACTCTACCCAGGGGGACAGCTTGAGGCTCTGTCTCAAAAAAAAAAAAAAAAAAAAAAAAAAACTGTGACACAGCCTCAGGCAGGTCCTACAGGAGGAAATCCAGATGGTGGCATTGTTATCATAGGAGACAACAACTCCATGTATGGAGTTGCCATACACCGAGGCTGACGAATTACACTGAGGCTGACGAATTCGAACCCGGGAAGGCAGTGGAAGATGAGAAGGTGGAAGGCAGTGACACTGATGAGGAGATGGAATGTTGCAGCTCGTACAGCCTATGGCTAGGAGGAGTGTGAGTTATAAGAATACCCGTATAGCTAAATAATAGAGCACCTTGGTGAAAGGGCATGGAGAGGGATTTAGCTCTCCTAACAAGCATGAGAGAGCTTGAGAGATGAGAGCAGTGGTGAATCTGCATCTACACCTGCGGTGTTGAGAGGCACAAGCTCAGCCTTACAGTAGGCTGGAGGACCAGGCAGTCAGGAGTATGCGCATTCTATCACGGACCTGCTCACTCTGACTCTGTCTCCTCTCCTGCATGTGGAATGCCAGCACGGCGTCTCTCTGCTGAAGATTACCAAGCTCTGCTAAAGACTAAGATCTATCTATTCTAAGAAGACTGCTTTACTCTCTCTAAGACTCTCTCTCTCCTGCTGAAGTAGATAGCCCTCAGGCACCTAAGAGAAATGGTTCCTGAGCAAGGTAGCTTAGCCATCTGCATCCGGAACCTAATTAAGCCCCGCCCGAGACCTGGCCAGTCCCGGGCCCTGATAAGAAGTGGCAGGAGTGGGATGTGACAATGGAAGACACTGACACTGATATTTCCAACCCTGTGTAGCCCTAGTCTAATGTACATATTTTGTCTTAGTTTTTAGTAAAAAGATGTTTAAAAAATAAATATAGGTCAGGTGTGCTGGCTCATCCTATAATCTTGGCACTGTGAAAGGCCAGGGTGGGAGGATTGCTTGAGCCTAGGAGCTGAGGCCAGCTTGGGCACCGCAGTGAGAAATGTTGGCCAGGTGCAGAGGTGTAAGCCCGTAATCCTTGCTACTAGGCAGGATGAGGCAGGAGGATTGGTTTAGGCCAGGAGTTTGAGGTTGCGGTGAGCTATGATGACACCACTGCACCCTAGTTCAGGTAACAAACTAAGACCCCGTGTCAGTAATAATAATAATGATGATAAATCCAAAAATTATAAAAATAGAAAAAAGTTTATAGAATAAGGGTATAAAGAAAATATTTCTGTACAACTGTATAATGTATTTCTCTTTTAAGTGTTTTTATAAAAGTCAAAAAGTTAAAAAATAAAAAGATAAAGGAAGGTACAGTGAACTAAGGTTAATTTATTATTGGAGAAAAATACCTGTACTGTCTACAAATTTAGTGTAGTCGAAATGTGCAGTGTTTATAATCTACAGTAGTGTGCAGTAACGTCCTAGGCCTGCGCCGTCGCCACACGCTCATTCATCCAGACCAACTTCCCGTCCTGCAAGCTCCATTTGTGCTAAGTCCCCTACAGAGGTGTACCACTTATCTTCTATACCATATTTTTATTGTAACTTCTCTAGGTGTAGATATGCTTAGATACACAAACACTTGTCCTCATGTTACAACTGCCTACAGTATTCACTACAGTGAAATGCTGCACAGGCTGACAGCCAAGGAGCCATAGGTTATACCAAGTGTATAGTAGGCTGTGCCATCTGGGTGTGTGTAAATACACTCTAATGAAGTCTGCAGAGTGATGCATTAGAATGTACCCTGTCATGAAGAGATGCACAACGGTAATTTTAAGTCTAGAGAAGAAATTACCATCTTAAAGACAGTAAGACAGGAGTAGTAGCTTCTTATACTCACCCTACGTGAAATCAAGGAAAACAAAATGAGGAACACTATGTTCAATCAACTTATTTGAAATGAAGGATGCTTTGTGCCTGCTCACCTGGACATTTGTGCTGATGAACGTTATAGACAGACAGACAGACAGACAGACAGACAGATAGATAGATCGATCTTACCTCTGGTTTGTCTATTAGAAGACAGCCAAGTTCGTAGCAGGCATACGGCTGGACATAGGAGTTAGTCTGACGACACAACTCATCTTTAACAGCTCGCTGAAAGAACTGTAAGTAATATAAATGTTCTTGGAATTCATTCATTTTCCTACTTAGCGTAAGGCTTATCACAATCTTCTGGAGGCAGCAAGAGGGACTCATTTTCCTTTTGTTTTCCGGCTCTGACTTTCTCTTCTTTCCTCATCTTCATTCCTTCCCACTCACCTCTCAGATGGCCTTGATGGGCCTGCCTGGGAAGCTTCCACCAGAACCTGTTGTCACAGTCTGCCTAAGTTATGCTACTTATTTTTCCAGTGGACACACGAGCCTACACTGATTTGACCGCTCAGAACATCTTGATCTACATCTAAAAGTCTAAACATCCCATTTCAATATTTAAAATAGAAAACACACGAGCCAAGAACCATCTCTTGACAGGCATCTTGACTGTATTTTGCTGGCACGTACGCATTTGCGCTAAAATAAGCTATTTAGAACTGTAATAACTATCGTAACCCCCTACTGAAAGATTAATTTTAAATTACAATATAAGCGCATTCACATTGTAGGATTTAAAAGCCAGAAGTCTCCTAATCCTATACACGAACTCTTTCAAAGAGGAGTCAAGTACAAGTGGGACAGACTCATTCAAAAGAACAACACGGACAAAAATCTTGGTTAGAAAAATCCTTCCAACTATATTTGAAAATAATTAGTGGTTCTTTTTCATACAATATGTACAAGACTATCCTAAGCTGACAACTTTCTAGACCTCAACTCCAGCCCGACATCGGGGATCTGAGTCACATGGAGGAAACAAGCACTGAACATACGTCTGATGTTTTTGGTTTTGTCTAACTGTGAAGCTTCCCACTGATCCTTCAGAGTGCCTCCTTTCCTCCTCTCTCTGGCTGAAAATGTCATCTTTGATAAACAGTAAGTATTAGGAAAAAAGCCAAACATGACAAAGTAGTCTAAAGATCTGTCGTTACATTACAAATGAACAGTATTAACCAACTTTTGGCATCCAAAATGATGACTTTGATCAAATAAAGTCGATCAAGTTTATATTGTAATGGGAGGTTTGGTTTTTCTAGGGCTTTTTAATTTTTCTTATTCATAAGCACATATGTGTTTATAATTCATTTGCTTCAGCCAGACATTAACCACTTACCTGAATAGCGTCTTGTGAGTTTCCTAGACATTTGTGAATGGCACCAAGAAGCAAATACTTTAATCCGACAACAGATGAGTCGTCCACTTCATGGCAAGCTTCAGAAGAAGGGGAGTGAACAGAGTGGGAAGTAAATACATTCACTTAGTCCCTTAAATACCACGAACAGTGAAGGGAATATTTCATTATTTACTTATTCAGTTGATATTTTTTGTGCCCCCAACTCAGAAAGTACGCATCCTTCATCCTTTAGTACCTTTTGTCAAAAAAAGACCAAACTCTCACACTTCATAGAGCCAAGAAGACTCAAAATTGAACCATATTATTACTAAGTGGAAAAAGCACAGCTGAAAAGGTTATATGCTGTATGATTCCAACCATGTAACATTCTAGAAAATGTCTCCAAAACTATGGGGACAGTAAAAATATCAGTGGTTTCCAGGAGTACAGGGGAGAGGGAGGGATAAAGAGGCAGAGAATAGAGGGGTTTTAGGGCAGTGAAACCACACTGTAGGGTCCTACCACGGTGGACACAGGTCATCATACATTGGTCCACAACACAGGGCGTGCAACACCAAGAAGGAACCTGATGTGAACTGCGGAGTCGGGTGATGACGGTGTGTCAACACCGGTTCATTGATAGTAACAAGGTACCACACCGGGGCAGGGCACCATAGTGGGGGATGATGGGGGAGGAGTGGGCAGATTCTCTCTAGACTTTCTGCTCAATTCTGCTGTGAACCTAACTAACACAGCTCCAGGAAAGTTCTATTAATTTTTAAAAGTTACCTCACATTAAATTAAAAAAAACATGCAGTTTGTATGTTTACATGTTTGTATGAAGTACTGTGCTGCTCAGTGAGAGGAGAGAAGAACTGATCCCTCCACTTGAAGAAGCTTGTTGGGTGGGAATGGATGCCCACAGAGACGGTTACAGAAATAAGAAACGTGGGAACTGGAAACACAGTGGGGTTATCAGGGGAGCAAAGGATGTAATGTAATTACTTCCATGGAGCAATAAAGATACTGAGCTTCAGTAAGATTATACATATGGATATAATGAGCTCAAGATACAAAACAATGGGGAGGAGGAGGGGAGGGTGAGGAAGAGAATCTGGACCAGCAGAGGCAGGAGCTCCTCCAAAAGCCAGGCTGAGAATAACATGCACCCCGCACTCCCCACCACCCCCACCTTATAATAACTCAGAACATAGCAAGACCCATCTCTAACACATAAACAAGCAAACAAACAAACAAAACCATCATGATGCTAAAAATAAATAAACCCTTTGCCAAGAAAAAAACATAATCCTGCCCTTAAGAAATGTGGGGGAGACGGACAGTACCGAAGACAAAGGGGGCAAAACATGTTACATTCTTGCGACGCTAAGGGGAAACATACAGCCTGGCGGGGGGACTGGAGGCATGTGTGTCTGTGTGTGTGTGTGTGTGTCTGTGTCTGTGTCTGTGTGTGTGGGGGGAAGGCAGTATGAGCCTCCCTGGAAATGTAACCTCTGAAGAGAAGGAGTGAGAGCCACAAGGCAGTTTTGGGTAAGGTGACCAGATTTTAGCATGGTAAAGCAGGACACCATGGGGGGGGGCGGGGCCTGACAACAATGCAAACTTTGACAAGGAGTTCTCGATAATCAGTTCTCAACAATTATTTGTTATTATTAAAGTCTAACATTATAAAATTAACAAAAATAATATAAAACACATATTCTGGCGAAATAGCCACATGGCAGCTGAAAACCGTATATTCCCTTCCTGTTCTCCCGTGTTCCCTAGCTTGTCGTGCATTCTTTCCAAAAAGTGGGGCTTTTTAAAAATGCCACAGGACAAATTGTTAAAAATCAGGACTGTCCCGCCAAAAGCAGGATGTCTGGTCACCTTACTGGGGGGTGGGGTGGGGGGGTGGCGCTACTTGTTTGTTCCAGACAGTTTGGCTCCTTCTGAGCTAATTGTCCTTGCCTAGAAGTCAGGGAAAGAGCCATTTCCTTCTGATACTTAGCCCAGGAGGGGAGTAGGGAGTTTACATTAGCCTTTTCATTTCCAAATGAAGTTACATTAACCTCTTCATTCCCAAATGGAGTTACATTAACCTTTTTAGCAGCCAAAACCTGTATATTCCCTTCCCATTCTTCTGCTGTTCCCTAGCTTGTCATGCATTCTTTCAGAAAATCGGGACTTTTTTAAAACGTCCCAGGACACAGGACAAATTGTTAAAAATTGGGACTGTCCTGCCAAAAGCGGGACGTCTGGTCACGGTAGGTTTGGGGCAGGAGCACTAGAGGACAGAGACAAGGGTGAGGGCAAAGGAGTGGTGGCCAGCACGTACCAGGCTCACTGGAGGAGCCAAGTGAGTGGAGAGAGGGAAGCACAGGGAGAGGCAACGGCACTGGGGGTTCCAGACTTTGGCAATGCCCACCACCGAATGGACTTGCACTTCTCCTTGGAATGTGATGAGAGACAGAGGGTTCTGGGAAGCAGCTGACACAATGGGACTCAGCAATGCCTGCTGTGCTGAGACAGCTTTAAAATGCTGAGGAAGAACGCACTGGAGACAGGCAGGTAGGTGGGTGGGGAAAAGGCTTTGAATGAAACCACCAGATATCACAATCACAACCAAACTACCTCTGTTGATAAAGGGAGTTACAGAGGGGACTCTGTTAATCTAAATGCAACATACCAGGTGAGTATTTGGAAAGAGTTTAGGAAATGCTATGAGACACACTGCCCACTTTCAGTTTAACATACTCTATACAGTCAGATCCATTTGTATCATTATTGCTTAACAAGGAGGAATTACATAATCTAATTAGTAGATCTCAGAATTGGGTTAAGTTTTAACAAAGATATTAGGGAATTATCTCATGTTTACTCCAGGGACTGTCTCCCTCTCCAAGAACACATCTTTGTTGTTAGTTTATTTTGATACTGGAAAGGGGCTCAGAGAATATTTAGTCAAATCTTATAAAACTGACAATTGTGCCTGTCAATTACTATCTTACCCTTGCTTTGTGTAAAATACATGGTCTTGCACTTGTACATCAAAACCCCCCTGAAGATCCCTCATTATTCCTTTGAGTTAGACATTAATAGGTGTCCTATACTTGCTTCAGCACCAATAGGGTGTTTTTAAATTGTGCGAATCCTTTTTAAAGGAACACAGAAGAATTTAACATATCCAAGAAAATTGTTTCCTGTCAAGTTGCTCCTCGGGAGGGTTGCACATCTATTCTAATTGCAAGGCCACTTTGCAAAACTTTTTAGGGGGTTTCATTCCTGTGGCTGCTAGAATAGCAACATTGGCAATGTTCTGACCTTTAAGGGATAATTATTTTTTAAAAGAAATAGCCAAAAGGCATCTACAGAAAGATGTGATGATAAAAATATGTGATGTGGCTCAGCGCCTGTGGCTCAAGTGGCTAAGGTGCCAGCCATGTACACCTGAGGTGGCGAGTTCGTATCCAGCCAGGGCCCGCCAAAAACAATGACAGCTGCAACCAAAAAAAAAATAGCCGGGCGTTGTGGCAGGCACCTGTAGTCCCAGCAACTTGGGAGGCTGAGGCAGGAGACTTGCTTGAGCCCAGGAGTTGGAGGTTGCTGTGAGCTGTGATGCCATCGCACTCTACCCAGGGGAATGGTTTGAGGCTCTGTCTCAAAAAAAAAAAAATATGACTCAATGGATTGATCATGCCATATTTGGTCAAAAACAAGAGTGATCAAAGAAAAAAGAATGTGACAAATTTTCTACAGTGGTTTACAAACTATTTCAAAATATTATGTCTAAAATGTCAATACTACGTCTTTCAGGAAAGGGCAGCACATACATGAATAAGAATTTATTTCCAAAGAAAATCGAAACCACCCTTTCAGATGTGTGCATTTTTATTTTAACACAAAAATTTTGCCTTATAATTGTATTTCTAGGGGCGTGATTTAAAACTCTTCACGGCCCCAGGAAGATGAAGCTGTGTGGAGGGCAGGGTTAGAGCTCTGCTCCTCCGTGTATCGGCCTGAGAGCGGTAGCACCCACCCAGGCTCTTCCCGAAGCTGGGCAGGCTTTGCAGTGTGGAGCGAATGGTTTGCAGGACTACAAAGAGCCATTCTAGGCTGGGCACGGCGGCTCACACCTGTAATCTTAGCACCTGGGAGGCTGAGGTGGGTGGGCTGCCTGAGCTCACAGAGAGAGAGAGAGCCAGAGAGAGACCCATCTCTTAAAAAAAAAAAAGAAACAAAAATAGCCAGGCATGTGGTGGGCACCTATAGTCCCAGCTATTTGAGAGGCTGAGACAAGAGAATCACTTAAGCCCATAAGTTTGTGGTTGCTGTGAGCTGTGAGGCTGCAGCACTCTACTGAGGGTGACAAAGTGAAAGTGTCTAAAAAAAAGCCCTTCTACTATCTACCACTGAACCATTAGAAAAATGTTATTTCTGGCTCGGCGCCTATAGCTCAACCGGCTAAGGCGCAAGCCACGTACACCTAAGGTGGCGGGTTCGAATCCCCAGCCCGGACCTGCCAAACAACAATGACGGCTGCAACCAAAAAATATCCGGGCGTTGTGGCG